AGGGTAAGACAAGGCCATGGAGTACAGTAGGCCCTAAGCCCAGTAGGACTGATGTCCTTATGCAAAGACACAGGAAAGAATGTCATGATGGAGGCAGAGATTGGAGTCATGCGTCTACAAACCCAGGACATCCCTGCTGATATGTAGATTTCATAAATTTCTTTAATGTTTATTTATTTTTGTTTTTTTTTTAAATATTTTCATTTACTTCTAGGAGAGAGAGAGAGAGAGAGAGAGAGAGAGACAGCGTGAGCAGGGGAGGCTCAGAGAGAGAGGGAGACACAGACTCTGAAACAGGCTCCAGGCTCTGAGCTGGCAGTCAGCACAGAGCCCGACGCGGGGCTCGAACCCACGAACCTCGAGATCATGACCTAAGCGAAAGTCGGACGCTCAACCGACCAAGCCACCCAGGCGCCCCTATTTATTTTTGAAAGAGAGAGAGAGAAAGAATGTGAGTGGGGAAGGGGCAGAGAGAGAGAGAGAGAGAATCCGAAGCAAACTCCAGGCTGCTGTCAGCCCAGAGCTCAAAGCAGGGGCTTAACCTCACAAACCAGGAGATCATGACCTGAGCGAGGTCGGACACTTAACCCCTTGAGTCACCCAGGGGCCCTTTGAATACATTTCTGTCGGGTTAAGCCACCCGGTCTGCAGTACTTAGTTACAGGAGGCTTAGGAAACGAATACAACGGTGTGACAGTAAAAAAAAATAATAATCTGGGGCGCCCGGGTGGCTTAGTCGGTTAAGCGTCCGACTTTCACTCAGGTCATGATCTCGCGGTTCGTGGGTTCGAGCCCCGCGTCGGGCTCTGTGCTGACTGCCAGCTCAGAGCCTGGAGCCTGTTTCAGTCTGTGATTCCCTCTCTCTCTGACCCTCCCCTGCTCACACTGTCTCTCTCTTTCCTAGAAATAAATAAAAAAAAAAATAATAATAATAATAATAATAATCTGATGGAGCCGGTGGTGATACTTCTTCCCCGCTCTTGTCTTCTGTGTGGATGGAGGGAGCTCTGTGGTTCCAGTACTCACGAGTACCCCTGGCTTCTCTACCCCTTCGTCCAGCGGAGGAGGAGTAAGCTGGGGCTGCTGAGTTTGGGACAAGGCGCAGGGCTGCTACCCAGCTCTGCCTTCTCTCGGGTTCCTCTTAGGAATGAGGCTGCCTGCAGCCCTTCCAGGTGAGGGGCGTCCTCCCTTTGCGGGTGGGCCTTCGGCCGAGCTCCCCAGAAACAGAACCTGAGACGCAAATTCGCTGCAAGTGCTTTATGGGAGAAGCAGGAAGGGGGAAGCAGAGCGGGACGGGGAGTAAAGTGAAGCAAGCGTGTGGTCTCCGCGAAGCCTCGCTCAGTGCGACCCCCTGGCGGTTCTCTAGGGCACAAACCGCAGCTCGGAAGTTAAGTGCCCTTCATCAGTCAGTCACTGGGCAGCTCAGGGGTGAGTGAGAGCGGAGCAGAGCCTCCCGGGCAGCAGCGACGCAGCTGAGGCCATTCTTGAGTCAAGGCAGCAACTGTGGATTCAGCGACACCCCCCCCCCACACCTACCACAGCAACAGTGGGGGTGGGCACACCTGCTGGAAGGGAGATCTAGGCCCCCCAATACCAACCATCTACCTCAGGGGTGCTGCTGCCGCCCAGGGCTGCTTTGGCCTGGCTGGGCAAATGTGTTTAATCTGGGGGGGAAAAATGGAAAAACCAGACCAGAAGGAGAAGCCCCTTCCTCCTGCAGTGTCCTTCCAGCATCTTCTATTGACTAACTCTAACAAAATGCCTGCTGCAAACAAAAAGTGCTCAAAGTGTCTAGCCCATTACTACAGAGCAGACAATAAAGCATAGATTTTGAGCCAAGTAGCAATAAACTGATAACTGGCACAGCCACTGAGATCACGTGTGGACAACAAACCTTTTGGTTTTCTTCTTTTCTCCATTCTTGATGAGTGTTTGTGACACCCGACCAAAAACATTAGCAGAAGAGCCTGTGCTGCCTGGCATTTTTTGCTGGAGCCTACAGTGCCGGCCGGATGGGCCAGTGTTCAGTCTTCCCGCTGCCAGGAAGCTCAGAGCCACCCAGGGGGCCAGTGTGGCATGATAAGCAGTAGGAGGAAACCCATCTGGGCTCAGCCCCAATGGCCAACTGCTTTGGGGGTGCTGGAGAAAGGGGGAGTCGAAGCCACAGAGCCAGGTTCTGCCATACGTTGTTCAAGCAGTTATGGCTGCTCAAACTTTACTAAGATGACGAACTTCTGGTTGTTGGATTGGGTCTCTAAGGTCATGCTGTTGGGCACATTCCTGGAGTCCACCTTAAGCTTATCTCTCTTTCGTCCTTACGAATTTTCATGATGCAAACAGGGTTGTGACACATTTTCATGGAAATCTTTTAAAATTAAATTCATATTAAAATATATTTAAAAATAAATTTCCAAGAAATTCACACAAGAGAATAGAATAACTTTCTAATAATACCTTTTTTATTGTCATAAAGAAAATGCTTTGTCATTATTATCCCCAGAGGATACAGAGGACAGCGTGCAAAGCTCAGGTAAGGGCTTTTCCCTTCTGTTGTCTGTGATGATTGATCTCCAAAGTCAATTTCAAATCATGTGCTCAGCCTTAACTTAGACTTTAGAGCTGAGTGAACCTGTCAGGCAAAGAGTTCATTTATATTCAACCACACACACACACACACACACACACACACACACACACTCCAAATTGCTTACTGGTATTACACACTTCCTACAATTTTTTTAAGATTCTATTTTTAAGTAATCTTTACACCCAATGTGGGGCTCAAGCCTACAATCCTAAGATCAAGAGTCTCACACTCCACTAACTGAGCCAGCCAGGTGCCCCACATACTTCCTGTTTTTATATGTTAGGAAATAGCTTTATATTACTTGTGGTGCTGGATCTACTTTTTTTAGCTTTTAACTGTACACTTACATACATCAGGAAAGCTATTCATTTTTTTTCTAATGATCAATAAAAAATGTACTAAAAATAAGAAAATCCTTTCATCTTTATCGGATGACTTTAGACATTATTATTATTATGTTCTTACACTTTCTGGAATATTGTCATTTATTTTTTTTTAACGTTTATTCATTTTTAGAGACATAAAGAGACAGCGCATGAGCAGGGGAGGGGCCGAGAGAGAGAGGGAGACACAGAATCCGAAGCAGGCTCCAGGCTCTGAGCTGTCAGCACAGAGCCCGACACGAGGCTTAAACTCACGAACCGTGAGATCATGACCTGAACCGAAATCGGACGCTTAACCGATGGAGCCATGCAGGCGCCCCTGGAATATTGCCATTTAGAGGATTAGTGATAATTAGTGAAAAACATAATACCGTATGTTTAATGAAAATGTCATTGATGTTATTCTATTTAGTTATATTTACTTTTGTGAATGAAACAAATGCTTTAAAATATTTGTCAATTTGATGACACAGGTAGGTCTGGTGAGTAGATTGGAGAAAACACTGTGGAGCTCTGAGCACTAGCAACTTCTCTGTAGCTGCATCCAATGGCCTGTTCTCAGTCCTCATTCTGTTTGACTCCTTTGAAAGGCCGAAGTCCGTCACTCCATCCTCTGCTCTTATTATTCTCAGGTGCTGGGAAAACACTGATCCTCTTCTCTGTGAACCAAGCCATATCCTCTGTTTGCTCCCGTTTCTCCTCTGAGCTGGCATACACAGGCTGTGCCCCTTCTCTTCTTCACTATAATCACAGGATAAAAATGCAGCTTTCTGGTCCTAAGTTCCAAACGCCCGCCCCTAAATTACCCTTCTCCAAAGGTGTCCATGAAACTCCTGTATCCATCTACACGCTCACAGCCAGGGCTCTAGAAAAGCTGGGCCACAAATCAGAAAACCTAGATGTAAATCCCTGATTTACTCCCTGAGTCAAGGGTGTCACCTAGCCTCTCTGAACCTTAGTTTCTGAATCTGTAAAATTGGGATCTTTGTCCTGCCTTGTGTGAACACCATATGAGATTATACACGTGAAAGCACTCTGTAAAAGAATAACTCATCTTGGAGCATCTGGGTGGCTCAGTCAGTTAAGTGTCTGACTCTTGATTTCAGCTCAGATCATAATCTCATGGTTCATGGGATCGAGCTCTGTGTCAGGCTCTGCGCTGACAACATGGAGCCTGCTTAGGATTCTCTCTCTCCCTCTTTCTCTGCCCCTCTGCCACACACTTGTACACTTGCTGTCACTCTGTCTCAAAATAAATAAACTTTTAAAAAACAGAATAACTCTTCTTTATCATGATTACCAAAATGCTGGTCTTATTGAGGATAGTTGACACTTACTATTTCATTTGATTCTAACAACAACTCTATATGGCATATATTCTTCTTTTTACTTCATAAAATGAGAGAATTGGGGCTTGGAATGTTTAAGTACCTTGTCCAAAGCCACAGGGCTAGTACCAAGGACAAGACTAAAGCCTGTGCTTAAGGGGCGCCTGGGGGGCTCAGTCTGTTAAGTGTCCAACTTCAGTTCAGGTCATGATCTCATGGTTCGTGGGTTCGAGCCCCACATCAGGCTCTGTGCTGACAGCTAGCTCAGAGCCTGGAGCCTGTTTTAGATCCTGTGTCTCCCTCTCTCTCTGATCCTCCCCTGCTCACGCTGTCTCTCTCTCTCTCTCTCAGAAGTAAAAGTAAATAAATAAATAAATAAAAAGAACAACAACAACATTAAAACCTGTGCTTAAGTTCCAAAGCCTATCCCCAAGCAATAGTCAGAGTTCTTCATTGTAAGTGACAGAAACTGACACTTGCAATTTTCCTCCTTCCTTCCTTCCTTCCTTCCTTCCTTCCTTCCTTCCTTCCTTCCTTCCTTCCTTTCTTTCTTTTAATGCTTACTTATTCTTGAGAGACAGAGAGACACAGTATGAGCAGGGGAGGGGCAGAGAGAGACACACACAGAATCCGAAGCAGCTCCAGGCTCTGAGCTGTCAGCACAAGGCACAACGCGGGGCTGAACTCACGAGCCATGAGATCATGACCTGAGCCGAAGTTGGACGCTTAACTGACTGGGCCACCCAGGCGCCCCTGACACTGGCAAGTCTAACAGAAGGATAATGCAGGTTTACAACATTGGCCTGAGGCCTGAGGGCCACACTTGGAAAACCAGCTGGAATGAAGGAAGCTGCAGGGAACAAAAAAAGGAAGTACATAAACCATCTTTCAGCCATGGCAGTTGGGAAGGATACTGCGACACCAGACACGCTGCCGTCTCAATAGAACACCACAGCAGTTGCCAAGAACAACTACTTGCTCCAGTTTCAGAGTCCCGGGTAAGCATCAGCTGGAGGGATCCTGGCACATACCTCCTGGGCCAAGGAGAGGGAAGACACTGTGACACGTCAGGCAGGGACTCCGTTTCTGCACATACCTCTACACACACACACACACACACACACACACACACACAATCCCTTTCCGTTCCTCCTCAGGGGATAGTGTTCTCTCTTGTCCCAGGCTAATCTTTTCATCCCTTTTAGAATCAGATAATGCCCCATTTTCTCCATCTCTCTGATCTCAGCCTCTCAGCTCTTGTTTTCAAAGATTCCCATACAAAGGAATTCAAATCTCCCTAGTCCCTCCCGAAGTGTTCTGCACCTAATGGAGCTGCTGGCTTTCACCATAATTGATGGTCACCACATTTATTTCATTTTTGTTTTAAGTTTACTTGTTTACTTTGAGAGAGAGCGAGGTGGAGAAGGGCAGAGTCGGGGGGCGGGGCGGAGAGAGAATCTCAAGCAAGCTTCACGCTGCCAGCACAGAGTCTGATGCGGGGCTAGATGTGGGGCTCGAACTCATGAACTGTGGGATCATGACCTCAGCCAAAATCTAGAGTCAGATGCTTCACTGACTGAGCACCCCCCCATCCCGAGTCCCGATGGCCACCAAATTTAAACAGGATTCAGTCCTGCCCAGAAATCATACTATATTTCTCTGACCAACTAGTCTCCTCTTTTACTTGTCAGAATGGCTATTTCAAACCTGCATCTCCATCAGATCTCTGAAGGCTGTAAAGACCCATTGCCTTCTGAAATGGAGAGAAAAATCTATTTTGCCTGCCTCCGATGCAAAGGGCAAATGATTTCACAAGCCTCAACCACGGAGAATGTAGCATAATGGAGTCTGGACCCCAGGGGACAACAGAGGAGACCAGAGCAAGGAGGGAAGCAGATTTGCAAGTGACCATCCTCAGCTGCCCCTCACAGGCTGAGGGATGCCCTAACTGGAACATGAAAGAACACTCTCCCATTCTTTCTGGTGCTGGTCTAAACCTATAAGTAGGTCGTGGATGCCAAGCAATAGAGTTACATACGAATAACTTTATGACATTATAAAAAAGACATCATTACATATCAAATGCAAAAAGGAAGGCATGTTCAAAAGGTGATGTTGGAATAATCACTTAAAAATTTAGTGAAATAATGGCCAACAGACACATAAAACGATGCTCAGCATCCCTCCTTATCAAGGAAATACAAATCAAAACCACAGTGAGATACCACCTCACGCCAGTCAGAGTGGCTAAAATGAGCAAATCAGAGAACTCTAGATGCTGGCGAGGATGTGGAGAAACGGGCCCCCTCCTGCACTGTTGGTGGGAATGTAAACTGGCACAGCCTCTCTGGAAAACAGTGTGGAGGTTCCTCGGGAAACTAACAATAGAACTCCCCTAGGACCCAGCAATAGCACTGCTAGGAATTTACCCGAGGGATACAGAAATGCTGAGGCATAGGAGCACATGTACCCCAATGTTCATAGCAGCACTCTCCACAATAGCTAAAACATGGAAAGAGCCTAAGTGTCCATCAACAGACGAATGGATCAAGAAGATGTGGTTTATCTATACCATGGAATACTACATGGCAATGAGAAACAATGAAATCTGGCCATGTGTAGCAACATGGATGGACCTTGAGGGTGTTATGCTGAGCGAAATAAGTCAGGCAGAGAAGGACAAATACCATATGTTTGCACGTATAGGAGGATTAGGAGGAACTTGACGGAGGACCAAGGGGGAGAAGAAGGGCGGAAATGGTGGGGGAAAGGGAGAGAGGCAAACCATGAGAGACTCTTGAATGCTGACAAAAACTGAGGACTGATGGATGTGGGGGGGAGGGGGGATGGGCATGGAGGAGGGCACTTTGGGGATGAGCACTGAGTGTTATGTGGAAACTAATTTGACAATAAACTATTTGTAAAAAAAAAAATTTAGTGAAATAAAAATGATTTAGGCTCTCGCTTGAATAATACCAAAATAAGCTCGAGACTTTAGTTACATAAATAAATAGAACAACAAATTAAGAAACTATAATTGAAGAATTGAAGGAAAGATGAGCATGTTTGACTACATAAAACATTTTAACTCCTGTATTTAAAAATAAAATTAGATTTGGAAAAAATGTATTTGGTATGAAAAATGCTGAGAGGACAATAGTTTAATTGGCAAAGAACATTGGTTTTTTGTTGTTTGTTTGTTTTTAAATGATTTTATTTTTAAGTCATCTCTCTACCCAACATGGGACTTGAACTCAAAACCCCAAGATCAAGAATTGCATGCTCCTCCGACTGAGCCAGCTAGGTGCTCTGGCAAAGGATGTTGTTATGGGCTGTGTTGCATCCCCCTAGATTCATCCGCTGAAGCCCTAACTCCCAGTACCTCAGAATATGACTGTATTTGGAGAGAGGGAATTTCAAGAGGTAATAAAGTTAAAATGGGGTCATTAGGGTGAGCCCTAATCCAATATGGGTGGTGCTAGCAGAGGACAGTAGGGGTGCCTGGATGGCTCAGTCGCTTAAGGGTCCAACTTCGGCTCAGGTCATGATCTCAGGTTTGTGGGTTCGAGCCCCTAGTTGGGCTCTGTGCTAACAGCTCAGAGTCTGAAGCTTGTTTCAGATTCTGTGTCTCCCTCTCTCTGCCTCTACCCTGCTCATGCTGTCTCTCTCTATCTCTCTCAGAAATAAATTTTTTTTAAAAATTTAAAAATAAATAAATAAATAAATAAATAAATAGAAGAGGAGATTAGGACAGAGAAACACAGAGAGAAGGCCGCCTGAAGACACAGCTGTCTATAAGCCACAAAGAGAGGCCTCAATAAAAACCAACACAGTCAACACCTTGATCTCAGACTCCCAGCCTCTAGAAGAGAGGGAAAACAAGTTTCTGTTTTTAAGTCACCCAAGTCCATTTACAGCAGCCCGAGCAAACTAATGCCGACATTATATTCTCATAGAGAATACCATTAATGCACAAAAGCACTCAACGCTAGAAGGAAATCATCACAAAAGAGGTGACATTTGAGTTTGGTTCTGAGAAATGAAGGGGCGTTGATGTCCAATAGGCTCGCGATCATTTCTCAGAGTTGATTTGCTTGTTTTTAAAGGAAAGCACGTGGTATTTTGCCAAGAATGAGTAAACCTGAAACACTAAATTTTAGTTAGTACCTTTGTATGAATGAAATAAACACAGACAACCAACTACACGAAGCCTTGTTCAAGCAGGAGTTGCGTCAGATCCAATCTAGAAGCTGCCGGTATCGCTTTGATAGGGTTTTGTGGTGAGCTAATCTTTGGGTAACAGATGACAGATTCAGTGCATTGAATCTGTTTGTGCTGAATCACTGTTGCTGTGGCATTTTTGGCGTTGTAAGCCCCGGGTCTGCAGCTGCCTTGTGGGGATGGATGTGGTGGAGAGCCCTGCTGCTGCCTTCCAGACCCCCTCGAAAGCTGCAGCGGTGGGAAAAACAAAAGTCATGCTCTGCTTCCCACACTTCCTTGCAGCAAGGATCCAAACAGGAAATCAATTGCACCAGTTGGATGCATGCACATCTCTACTGTTACTTACTACTTGTGTGACCCGAATATGCTTACTCTCTCTTTACCTCCAGTTCCTTGCCTGTAAAACGGGGATAAATAATAACAGCATTTACTCCATAGGGTTGTTACAAGGCCTAAGTGAGTTAAATCCTATAAATTGCTTAGCTTGGTACACAGTTATCAGTAAGTGTCAGCTTTATTACCATCATTATTTTGAAGGTGGAAGTGAGGCCCCGGCCATCTTCCTGCTCTCTGGCTGTCTTCCTTTGGCAAGGACTGTTCTGGGGTTTTCTGTAGTGGGGTTCTGATGCTTTCATGGGTGTGCAGAGGCAGTTAGTCCTGGACCATGGCTAGAGAAGCGTGTCCTTGAAATCAGCAAGTCCCGCTTCAGCCTCTGATTCCCTGGACAGGCCATTCTACAAGCTGTCTTTGAAGACCATCCCAGAGGTCCAGCCTAGAGCTCTCTCTTAGAGCTCCAGCAGCAGTCTTGTAAGTACATGCTTACCTTTTTAAAAATCCCTTTCTGCAAAATATACGTGGGGTGGCATCCGTTTCCTACAACTGAACCCTGTGAGCCCCTTTCTCCATTTCCCTTGGCCCCAGTCAGAGCTGTGAAAATAAACAGGAAAACTGGCCTAGGAAAAGGCTTCAAAGAGCTGTGTTAGTGTTGGAAAAGCCCAGTGTTTTAAGGAGGTTTTTAATTCAGTGCTTTTCTGCTAGATCAGTCCCCACGGAAGGTGGCTTGTGTAGACATTCGTGACCATACCCCATCTTCCCATAGAGCCCCAACAGCAGAGAAAGGGGAGAAAGGGAACTTACATATGTTGGTATTCTCTCTTCATGTGTTGGGCACGCCTCTAGAGGCAAAAACCAATCTGATTCATCTTGTGTTCCCAATATCAGCACAATTTCTTCTGTGCTTATTAAATGTCTGCTAAAGGATCTGAGCTAAGCTGAATTACAGAATTCACAAATCTCCACTGGAGAGGGAAAGTTTCTGAGGAAATCAAGGGAAAATGACAATGTGCTTATATTTATGCAATGTTCATGCTAGTATTTTAGGTTGAACTTACTTAATTTAAGATAGGAAGGGAAATCCTAACAACAGTAGAACCTAGTAAAACCATTTAGATGATGGCCTTTCTTTCATTTAAAATTGCGCTACTCTTAAACAGACTCTTAACTACAGAGAACAAACTGATGGTTACCAGACAGGAAGGTGTGGGAGATGGCTGAAATAGGTGATGGGGATTAAGGAGTGTACTTGTGATGAGCACTCGGTAATGTATGGAAGTGTTGAATCACTGTATTTTACACCTGAAATTAATACAACACTGCATGTTAACTATACTGGAATTAAAAATAAAAATGTAACAAAAACAAAACAAACAAACAAAAAAACCCACAACACAGCAGAAAGAGATTGCATTATACTTATCCTAAATAAGTTAATTAAAAA